ACTGACTGTTATGTGATCAGTTAGACAGTGTCTATGGCAATATTTTGACTTGCCAGGCACCTAGTCGTTTGACCTTTACTTCCGGTTTTATCAGAAGTGAAAATTGAATTTTACTTGAAACAAGAAACATTTTTTATATAAATGATCAGTGAGGAATGTCAAGCACAAAAGTGCCACGATGACGTCATTACTTGAAAGGACGTCAAAGATAGAGGAAACTTTGATATAAAAAGCATTCCTCACAGTTTTACCAAATTATTCATAAATGCTCTTTGTAAGTCTTATGAAAACAAACACTTAAATATTCATTATAATTTCCATATTTTCAAAAGTTGTTTGCACCGTATGACGAACGTTTATCCTGTCTGAACTAAATCAATATTAAGTTTTGACATTTTAACTGATGACGTCATCATTGTAAATGAAACGTATACTGAAACTTATACAACCCAAAAGGAGCTTTTCTTTCAACTCAAACAAATGTTTCCAATGGAAACGGATGTTTTTCTGTTCATAAAATATTCAGAACTTAACTAGCCAATAAAATGGTTCTAACTCAACAAACGATGTAGTTTCAGTTATATTTGCAGTGTTATTTGTTTGATACATGGAATGGCAAATATAAAAGACTAAAGGACCAAATGCATCTTTATGATCGGTAGATGACAAGTTTGGGGCGAGACGAGGATATTTTACCGTGGCCTCGCGGTTAAGGGCATTGGATTCGCTGTCTGCGGGTAATTCTGCGGGTTGTGGGTTCGAGTCCAGCCCGGGGTTATGGTGCGTGTGCCCTTCGACAAGGCACTTTGTCACTCATTGCTTCTCCCAACCCAGGAGTAAATGGGTACCTGTGAGGGCAGAGATGGTTTTTGTGATTAAATTAGCTTCTCTGCGCCTAACAGGCAGCATCGAGCTGTATACTCCCCAGGGAGCTGAGATGGTATTTGGAATGTTTAATTGGCCCAGTGTTCAGGGTCAATAATAATACTGTTAGCGCTGTGATTTAGTTTACTAATAAGAGCGTTCTTAAATGCCGGTTATTATTAATATTATTTTTATGAGAAAAACTTGCAGAGGGTAAAGCATGAATAGCTCTTATATCAAAACGAAAATACACTGGAATTGGCGTAAAGCATCATGACTAGTTTCAATGCAAGCCGGTTCCATTCCTTTTAGTTTGGGGATGTGAGCTTGTCTTACATACGCAGTGTGGACTTCCGAACAAAAGACGTCCACATAATGTAGGTAGCAGCGACGAAGTGTGGACTTGCCCACGTCCACACAGTGTTTCCCCATTTCTGGAAAACAGGTTTAGAGGCATTTTTGGGTTAGGTTTATCTGTAGCAGAATGAAGAGAAACACTAAAGGGAATCATTGAAAAAAAATTGGGTTGTAAGAGTTTTCACAGTTTGAGAAAAATGAGTTTTTCCACTGGTGTTCCTTAACTACACGAAAAGAAAGGAAAGTCCACACTAGGTATGTGAAACAAGTCTGGGTGGGTGTGGGTGTGGGTGTGTGTGTGTGTGTGTAACCGCGGCATGAACCTTGCTATGTGTTAACGTTGAGTTCAGAATGCTAGCAACGTCATTGAAACTTTTAAATAAAAAAAACCTTTAGGGGAAAGGTATGAACTTATGCCCCTATTGTAAGATCGAATGAAAAAGTGCGTACAATTCCTGGCAAGCATATAAATAACTTTGCCAAGTATGATTTTTTTTTATGAAAACGATAATTCACTTGAGTTTGGATAAAGCATGACTATAGTTTAAAGGTATAGTCCATCATTTGTAATTTCTGAATTTTGTTCGCTTGAAGCAACAAAAGTGCTCAAAATTTAAAGAAGGGTGCTGAACAACTGACCTGATGAAGTTTCAGCTCAGCTTCAGGTGTATATTTCGAGAAAAACAGCATTATAGGATCTCAATTTCAAATCAAAAGTTGCTGAATCATGTTTTTAATTGGCCCTGAATTCAGCGTCCGGGACACGATCTCACTGAGCCCATTGCAGCTACGCAATGTCGCGCACTGATCCGACGAATTATAGCAACCGCGCGCGCGTGTGCGTCGTATCAACGCATGCGCGCGCATCGCCGAATGACAAAACGAACTACTTATTTAAATTTTCCTACGGTGCGTCTTAAGAAGCACTGTTGTAAAGGCCTTCTTTCGTTGATTACTTCAAAATGACAGCTTGCCAGAAAGAATAATTTCACAGGGAGCTTAGTACCCTTACTATCTTTCAACCAAGTATGTTTTTCAACAATAATTACGCCAGCTACTTTTCGGATAGCTGCAAATGATGGACTATAGCTTTAACACGTGCTCCTCTCCAATGCTAAACTGCAATTTTCTGCCGCGCGCATCATACGCGCGTGCACGCATGTCGGACTTTTGTGCACGCACGTCGGACATAAATCACGGCTGTGATTGGTCAGACTACCATGGGGCGGTGCTTACTAGATCGGTCCATTGGGCTGTTCCAGGACCTAGTGTCCCTTTAATGTAGGAATCCGAAAACGTTTGCTCTCCCATACCTTAATAATAATGCACTCGCTGTGAAAAAAGTCGTTAAATACCGGGAAAAGAATTAGTAATGCAAATGATTAGCCTGATGACAATTTAAGGGGGCATGAATTATTTAAGGGGCATGCCCAATCTAAGTCCATGCAATACGAATCGTATCAATTGCTGGACAAATTAAAATCAGTGAAAGACTAATTTCATTGACGGACTAATACTCCGAACGTCAAAATGACTAATCTGCATACTCATGTAAATCAGATTAGACGAAGTATTTTTTGACGTGACAAATTCAATGACTAAATTTCTACAACCCGACTAATTACAGAGCGAGCCCGCCAAAATATGCCGACAAATTGTTTGACTACTTACGTTCGGTGTGTGTTTGTACGTGACGCTGCACCGACGCCATTTTCTAGCCGTTATTATATCGCCGCTCGACGTACATGTACGTGCGCAGCTGATTTTCGATTATAGGTAAGCATAATCAAAATATTACTTAATATTTGCAGATGAGAAATGTCGTCTGAATCACTGTGATTTTACTAGCCAGTATAAAAGTCTATACCTAGACTCGATTGAATATTTAATGTGCTCTAAAGTAAGGTTTAGGCCTAAACAGACCGCTATGTAAAGTATACACGGTCACACCAGTATTCTATGGCTACGCAGTGGAGTAAATTCTGTGCTAAATGCGATTGTGTATTTACCGTGCACCGTTCCCAAAAAGGTTATACTCGCCCAACTACTATAGTGATATTTAAACGAACCGGAAAGTTGTAGATTTGACTTATGAGGGCAGTTAATTTTAAGGAAATGTTAGGGTGAGCGACGATGAAGACAACAAAACACAACACGAAAATAGAGCTAATACATTGCGAGGCACCGTTAATGCATGACAAATTAATATTCTGGTATGACCAAATACATTTATTGCATTACTAATTACATTTCTTGCATTACTAATTGAATTTCTTGCATTACTAATTGAATTTCTTGCATTACTAATTAATTTTCCCGCATTACTAATTAATTTTCTCGCATTACTAATTAATTTTCTTGCATTACTAATCATTTCAGAAATTAGTCAAATAAGACACTTTTTCAGGACTAATTATAATTAGCATTAAAGTAGCATCGAAATACACAAAACACAGTCACTAAGACACTCAAATTACACTCTAATTTGACTCACCCGAACACCTAGGGGTGAATAGCAATTCGCTTTGGCTGATGAGGCCTGGATGAACCCTCAGAATTCTGTAATCGTGTGATTTCTGGCAAAGTACAGTGTGTCACCGACGCATTTTCATTCGCCACAAAAAAAGGACAGACAATGTGGAACCAAACAACACGGTAGACTATATTACAAACTAATGCCCGTTAAAACGTACAAATAGTCATCACTTTAACTAAGGTGAGTTTGTCATCGAATCAATAGAAAAAAAGATTCAATATAATCTGTAAAATGATGCTATATAATTATCCCCACCCAAAAATGCAGAAGTGTATATTGTCCTTACAAAAGTTGCAGGAACTAGTTACCTATACAGGCGCGGGAACACCACATAAAAGTACAGAGTAAACCTACAACTCCTGTTACTATGCGACAAGGCGCAGCAGAATAAACGGTTTAAAGCCTGAGTGTATGGACTACAAATGGGGCAGATACCCTCAATAATATGCAACAATCGTCCTTTTTAACCCGAGTTACATTTGTCCACAACCATTTTGCAATGCGGAGACCAAAGTTTAAAGCCATGGATACCACAAGTACAACCTTGGGCACAAAAGGCAAGAGAGTACCCGTGCAATGGCTTATTGTGCAGATGGCCACGTAAAAAAGAAGGTCAATATTTTATATTTTTAGAATACAACCAAATGGGTGCAATAGTGCTGTAGTGATGAGGACTTTTTATACTTGAACTATAGGGCTTGCTGTCAAACCTCATTCGTGATTTTGCAAGCTGGTGTGAACAAACGTATACCCGGGCGAAAAAGGACAATCATTGGCTGTAATTTCAGGCCTAATCCTGAATGTATAGATGCAAAACGTTTAGTTGGTTTTTTTTTTAGAGCAAAAACGAGTGATACTGAAGCTAGTCAATGTGAATCGAGTGATATTCTAACCCGAACCAGACGGAGGTCAGGAAGGATGGGTTGCATTGCTGACAAAGTGGACTAGAGGTGTTATTGGAATGGCGATACTCAAAATATACACTACCTAAAACGTATGAAAAGTGTGTCTATTTATACTTAACAGTGTCGGCATATTGTGTGCAACAAACGTTAATTAGTTACACCTGAGTACATTTTGTTTACAACCAGCTTGCATTGCGACCAAGTTTGACCATGCATTGTCAAAAATGCAAACGATAGGTATAATAGGACGATTGTTGCATATTTTGTTGAAGGTAACTGTACGTATTATTTACGGATATGTGTGTGGGGCACTATATTATTTACAGGCTAGGCAAGCAAGGGGATATTGTAGCTGTGTGGGCACGGCGCTTCCGTGGCAATTCGCAAGTAAAGTACACCGGGTACCTGACACTTAAGCTGTACGGGAGCGGCCGCTCACTCATTCCGGGAAGAAGTATACAACATTGGTCAAGGCTAGTACCCGGGCAGCCCTAATTCTGAATTTATAGGTGCAAAACATATGGTTTATTTTTAGCAAACATGAGTGATACTGAAGCTAGTCAGAGTGAATCGAGCGATATTCAAGAGAACACATCACCAGTCAGGTCACCCGAACCGGACGCAGGTCATCGGGGTGGATGGGTTTCATTGTTGACAATGTGGACTAGAGGTGTTACTCGAATGGCGATACTCAAGGGACTAGGAATGATGCTACCGACACTACAAGATCAATTCGGGACAACGACGTGGGTCATTGGTTGGATGACGTCACTCATGATCGGCATGGGAGGTCTTGTTGGTAACTTGATGTATTTTTCCTTGGGAATCAGGGTGACGCTTTCAGTGGTTTCTTTGATGATTTAGGCTTCAAAACAGTTACTGCTACAATGTATTTGTCTTCAGTAGAATCTTGGTGCTTTTACCTTGGAAACTATTTTACCCAGAGAACCTTGTAAACAACTTCAGGCGTTTATAAAATACGTCGGCGAAGGGCAAAAACCTACTTGCACAGTATAAAACTTATTATCTCTTCCATGCATCTGATAAAAAATGTTTGGTTGCAGTACCCACTGCTTCATCAGACTCGAACCGGCCACTCAACCCCATCTTACAACTCGACTCAATCAGTGTAAGACGTCTGGATCTTTTCTGATTTTACCTTTCTGATTTTACCTTTCTTTTGCTGATCGTATACTTGTTTCGAGGTTACTTTTTCGTTCTAGACTATTTCCTTTCGTGGTAACGGTTGCCCATATATCTCCCCAGACTTTAAACCATAAAATTAGTCTTTGTCTCATAGCCGCCTTAAAATGGTATTTTCCTCACTTTCAGATACAAAAGTCACCTTGTTTTCTTTTGTGACCTGAAACTATTGTCATGATGCGGAAACTATTTTCCATGTCACAGCGCCCTCATTTCCTCAAAATATGACTTACTCTGTCTTTAAATGAAAACCTACGTCATACTGCTTTCTTGACAGCTCCTTTGGCAGGTTTACTTGGTAGACGATTTGGATCAGGAAACGTTATCATGGTATGCGGTACGATGATTGGCATTGCTTTCATTGCTGCATCCTTTGCATCAAGAGCGACTCAACTGTCGTTTATTCTAATACTGTTAGCAGGTAAAAAAACAGAACTACTTTTGCTTTGATACAATAAAGGGTAATCAAATTACAACATTTTATTTTGAAAAAATCTCACAATCTGCCGTATTTTTTTTTTATTTGAATAGGTTCGTCACTACGAGTGCCTGTAGTGCTTGCTAAAGAGGCTATTGGCCGATGCTATGACAAGAACCTAGCAAAAGCTACCGGTATAGCGCGGACGGGTACTTCCATTGGACTGGTCGTGGCCGCGCCTCTCATCCAGATATCCCTCGATAAGTACGGGTGGAGGGGAACCATGCTACTGATAGGCGGTATATCAATGCATCTTATCCCTTGTGGCGCCCTCATGAGGAAAATTAGAACAACACCGAGCAACAGTTATCGGGAACTTCCACAGAACGAGCCAGTCTCGGAAGATATTTCTTCTCCCTCCACATGTGCCTCATTTTGGATGACAGTCTTCAAAAACTTTGATTTGTCCCTGCTTCGAAGTTTTCAGTATTGGTCAATAGCTATCGTATGCGTTTGTTTCAGTTTTGCTTACGACGTGTGGCTGATCTATTTTGTGTCACAAGCCCAATCAAAGGGGTTTTCCTTAGAGGACGCAGCAGTTTTCGTCACCGTAGCGGGCGTGGGGAACCTGCTAGCCAAACTGTTGCAGGGCTTCATCATAGACGCAGGGATACTACCCTGCTGGAGCCTAATGGTCATATGCAGCATCGTTAGCTCGTGTGCGTTCTTTGTAACGCCTTGGCTGGCAGGGTATTGGACAATGATGTTGACGGCATCGCTGGTGGTCATTTGCGATGGTCTCCTGTCCTGTCTGCATGATATCCTCACCAAGCAGGTACTTGGAGTAGAGTTAGGTCTAAAAAAAAAAAGTGTTATGTTGGCGTAACCCGACCGACCCTAAAGATGCGGCCGACCCTGGATATTTTTTTTTTTTGAAGGGAAGAAATATAATTAAAATCTATAGAAATGAATTTTAAATACGTTTTGAAACCATTTCTGACCGTTGACGATAACGCGCGTGGAACGTTGGAGTGCACAATGTTTTGCACCTTCCTGATCCTCTCCATGACACAAGATCGCGCAGGCCTCATCTATATCATGCATGCATGGTGCATCAATCTCCGCACGCGCACTAGGCTAGGCGCCTAGCCTAGTGCGCGTGCGGAGATTGATGCACCATGCATGCATGATAGATGCACATATGTACATGTACAGTACACGTGTAGCCTCGTCCTAGACTGTTGCACGGCGCGAACTGCTACATACACTATTGAAAATACTTCGCTATTTATTCCATGTTAAAAAAATAATTCATTATAATATAAATTATATTAATTAATTTTCCACTATTTTACACGATAACAATTGATATATATTTATTCTTAAAATGGTAAACTATTCAATAACCCCGGCGGCCGACGCGACCCGGCCGGCCCTCCCCGGCCCTGGCCGGCCCTCGGCATGGTCCGGTTACGCGCGTACGCCGCCGTCACATCATGGCGCCCAGTACCGAAGCGTACAGTGTTTCCATCAAGGGCAAATGGGGATCTTCGGTCATTTTCGACCGTTTAATGCGGATAAATTTGAGTCTAGAGCTGGGGGTAATCGCCCAGAGCTGTGCCGATGGTGTAAAAGCGGGTTACACCGTGCTAAAAATACAAACTTCAAAGGAAGAATCGGGTCCATATAAAGATGTCGATGCAGATGAAACGGCTAACATTTTGTCTGATTTTGGATTCCGCTTTTTGATATGTACCTTTGGAAAGGTTGATGATGAGCCTTGTTTTCTTTGGTTATCCTGTACCACTACCGGCTTAATGTCATTTTCGTTGCTGGGATTTAAAAAAAAACAAAAAACAAAAAAAAAAACACCGACCTACCTACCCTATTTTTTCTGGCCCGTTACGCCAACATAACTTTTTTTTTTTTTAGGCCTTACTGGGTGATGCCTATGGATGGATGGACATTAAAACTACTATGATGAGGTTCACCCTAGGCTTCATTCCTGGTAAATAAGTAAACAAATGTGTCGATGAACCTTTGCACCTTGAGGTTCAAAGACAGTCTGTCATATCCCAACTGTAGCAATAAATATTGTCCACAGAATATAGTTGGGACCACCCCATTTATATATACTTAGAATTTACCATCTGTTACAAAATGTCGAGTCTTTCCCAAGGTAACTTAACTCAATCATTTAGTTATCAAGATTTACTCTCCGGTCGCTGTTGTAATTTTGTGTACAAAAGATGGAGACAAAACAAACCTTCAGTGCACATTTTGAGGAAGTAGTTTTCTTATAAAACCTGAGTGACCGTTTAGCGTTTTTCTGTGTTGATATTTCATTTGGTTTTAAGGCACATCCACTCTCTTTCATTTCGATAGACGCTGGACGTTCCTGAGTAACTCATTTTCTTTTCATATTTATTTGTTCTGTGCTTTCCCAGGTTGGATTTACGACACATCTGGAAGTTACAACGCTGCATTTGTTTTCTTAGGCTGTGTGCAGTTTGCCCCTGTGATCCCACTGGTTGCTCTCAAATACTTCCGATGCGTCAAATGAGTGCTTCAACTGTTCCGTATGACTTTCTGTCATACTCCAAGATACTTTCGTCCTAACTGATAATGGTCATCAACCTTATTGTACGTATGTAAAGTGGTTGTTAGGATTTGAAAGCCTCTTGAGTTTATGGAAAACAATTTTTGATAGACCGTTGGCCATGTAATGTCATGCTGACAGGCAACCGCTAGGAGACTTTTGCATGCCGATTGGTCATGCATATTTGTTTGTGTGCACTCATTACATGTATGTCTGAACGTAATCTTATTTAATCTCATGATTGGCATAGATTGGCACGTTATTAGATTACAATAGTGTATTGGAGGGTAATGTTAAACCTAGAAAAACTATCCGAGCCTTATTTTTTATATATATACTGAGCAGTGTTGAGGGCATGGTATAGATTTAGAGTACAGTAGGGTTAGCTGGTTGTAGAGTGCGGTATTATCAACATTATTAAAATAGAATTGTATTCATTCCAGTCCAAGTAAGGAGACGTATGGGACACTTCAAGTTTGCAACGGTAAATGTTGTGAAATGTGTGTTTATTACAAAAACGGTAAATTAAAAGAGCTACACATTATGAGTATATTAATGACGTTGCATGTATTATTAAAACGGTAATACTTTGATATAATGGAGTCAGTAGATGGGAAAGGACAAAGAGTATATTACGCAGTTTTCAGTTGAGAGCAATTGGGAATAATATTAGCCCTTCGTTATTGGATTATTTTCTTCAGACAAATCGAATGAATGTTTGGCTGCCAAAACTAGCATTTGTTTTCCTACTTGTTTGAACATTTACTCGCATCTGTATGAATAATAATCGTCACCGGTTTCACGAAGGGACGGGCATGTGGCGTGGATTTTGAAGAAAAGCCGTTTTCGAGATAATCGCAACAGACGTTTCTCCGTTTTTAAAACTTCAAAAACTACTACTTTAATTTGAACCCATTAATTATAATTAATGAAGTGTTTAATAAGTCAAAATTAATTAGTAAAGATGCCCGTCCCTTCGTGAAATCGAAAATCTCACTGTTTCACATTTACGCCCTTCTTGTTTTATGTGCTTTTGCAAAGGGAAGGGCGCGCGTGTTCGATTACGCGCGCGCAGCTGAGAATGTAACAAAGATGCCCGTCCCTTCATGAAATCAAAAATCTCCTGTTGACCTACTTTTACGCCTCTCCGTGCAATGTTCGCGTCTCTTCGTAAAATCGCAAAATGCAATTATCGAGATGCCTGCCCCTGGCGTCATTAACGGTATAGAGAGCTCTGATATGAACGAGGAATATGAACACCAAGCCCCAAAACCCATACAATGCGGCCGGAAAATGGGCACATAATGCGTACCGTAGTTTGCATAATGGCTGGTTAATGGCCGGTTTTAAATGGCGCCCCCTATTTTGCAAGATGGTACCATGCCCCCCCCCCCCCCTTCAACTATTTGATTTTACGGAGGCCAAGTGTCCGGTGAAAAAAACTGTGTCGACGTTTCAGCACGGGTGTGCCGCCCCCTCCCCCCCCCCCCCCCCCCCCCCCATACTCAAAAGGTACCTGTGGAGTATAAGGGCGGAGGTGAACTACGGCATTGTGCCTAGGAGTGGTAATTGGCCCCAACGCACCCCATAGATTTGAAGTTTCTTTGCCCGACTTAAACATTCAAGATTATGTTGATGGCATTGTGGAATCTCCTTGTAAAAATCCTTGATGGAATCCTCCTCTTTCTGAATATACAATGTTGGCCTCGACATTATGACATGAATCAATACACGGGTGACAAAATTCCTTTCATCAACCTTGGCCTTCACTTATGTCTGTTGTCCGTTATAGCGTCAGATATGTAAGCCAAACTCGAGAATGTGCCGTTTGAGGGCGCTAAACCTTTCCTAAATCAAGCCTTCGGCTATTAATAGAAATCCTTTCTTTCCGAAATTACAACTGTTGCAATAGATGTTTAATTATAAAAACAAATCAATGAGGAAATGGGTTTTCGGCGGTCACTCACCTCCACGGCTGGTTTTTCTTTGTTCTGAATAACTGCACGCACAAATAGATGCCCGCAAGAGAATAATGTTTTTGTTACAAAAAGCAATATTTGCTTAGTTGAATGAATCGTGGCTGCAAAGGTGAATGAACGAGAGGTTATTGCCCCGCTGAGATTCACGATGACATAAAGAATTAAGCGGTCGCTGAGGTATAAGTCTCTGGTCCCGCGTAGTGGGAACTAGAAACTAGAAAAGTACATGTGATTTGAATGATTCTTTTATGAAGGAAAAATCAAATAGAAGTAAAGTCTGTCATGAGCCATTTTGGCCCATCAGGCTGGCATTTATCCCCGGTTTCAGTAGCATGACGACTGAAAATATTTCTATTCCCCCTGGTTAGGATGCTAGTCCATCACAGGTTACTCCCCAGCTAATACCGGTACCCATTTATACTCCTTGGTGGAGAGAGGCAAGTTGGGTGGAGTGGCATGCCCAAGGACACAATATATGTCCAGCAGCTGGATACGAACCCCTGCCCCTTTGATCATGAGTCACAAACCCTAACCCCTAGGCCACACTCCCCTGTTTATTAAAATAAAGCTTTAATTGTGCTTTCAAGATCTAATAATTATAAGTACTGTTTAGAGAACTTCTTCCCCCCCCCCCAAAAAAAAAAAATTGGGGGCGCCATTTGGGTTTCCTTTTTGTTTACTCAACTTGTATTTCAATGTACTCCTGCTTCCATCCATAGACTAAATAAGTATACGAAGACAACGAGATGTTTTTTTTCTACTTTCCATGGAATAATTTTATTCTTTTCTAATCACTACATTTTTGATACCAGGATTATATATCTGACATAAATAACTGTGTTTCGTTTAGATACATATGAATCTAATGCATGGATATCGAGTCTAAGTTAAAAGTATTGAAAGCGACCCAAAAAAAATCAGTAAAATTAGACATGCGGATGAACTGAGATATATATACACTTCTTGGGCATTCTTATAACCAATATGAAAATGGATTTACTACAAACGGGTTTACAAAGAATTCTCGTCATGATTCTCAATGATTTTCATATGTTAATTTCAAACTAAACATTCATCATTCATTCGCTATATATGCCTGGCAAAACACTATCTACCCCAATCGTTTAATGGTAATAAAAAGAATGTAGACATACACATGATTTTTACTTATACTGTCCATACTCACACTTATGAATTAATCATTAGTTTTTACAAAATCAACAAGTCGGCACTTATAGGCCTAATGCCCTTATGCAAGCTTTGATGATGGTTGTACAAAATTGATCCGAAGATTAAAAAAAAAAAAAAAATACCTGTCCCCGTCATAAAATATACTGTATTAAAAATCTCCTTTTTAATATTGAAGCGATTCGGCAATTGAAAAAAAAATAACAATGTAACTGTTCCTCGAATGACGCTTAAATTGGTCTTAATCCATTCTCAGTCCCAAGACTACGCTAAAAGTGTGCAACAATGGCCCCTAATAGTAACGTTTTGCATTTTGACCTTTGAGGGCGCTGTTTTGCTCGGATTCAATTAAAGGGGCATGAAGGCCTGAAACCTCCGAGAATTTCATGTTTTGGATTGTTTACTTATACTATTTCAAACGGCTAGTTGAAAGAAAACAAACCTAATGTCTAACAGTTCCCGAGAAAAGACGAAAAACACCGGTTTTTTTTACATCGGACGCGACGGACATTATGTGGCATACTCATTTCAAGTCGTGTTTATTCACTGCAGCGTACACTTTGTGAGTGTGGTACATAATACACACATTACAAATGCACGGATGTTGTTTCTTAAACTGTGCGGCAGGATTCACAACTAGCACTAAACAGCTCGATTTTTCGGGGACAAAATTGTGACCCCCCACATTCGTTCTTGCATGACTCTCGCAAGAATAACACAAAACGCCCAGTTTTTAAAGGACGGTTGTGTGACCTTTATGTTCTACTTTTAAATACTCTTTCAATTTCATTTCATTTCGTTTAAAATGCATTTTGTAGCCCAATTTGGCGCATTCCAGGCCGAAATCTCCCTTTAATTTGAATGCTGCACAAACTGGAATACAGACGAGCTCCCACAAGGCTGGAGACTACAGTGACTATATCGTTGGATTGCCGTTTTCAAACATCGGCCCTAATTGCAAGTAAAGCTGGACTTAATTATTTTAAACATTTTGTCTGAAATCTGCTTACTTCTATCAAACGATTAATGCCTCAAAAAGTGGGCCCCAAAAATGTTGGCGCGGAGTACGGGGCCCGCTTAAGAACCCGGGATTTTTTTGGATTCTATAGATGCTCTGTGGTGCGATCTGAGGCTATTTCTGACCACTTTAGCCAAATATTTTGGAGGAAAAGATGGTGGTGTACGCAGTGCCTGCCTAAACTAAAATAACTAGCTAAAAGTTAGTTATTGAATTTAAAAAATAGTTAATTACAATTAGCTAAGAATTAAGTAAGCATATGTTAAAGTCGAGATTGCGATTCATCAGTTCACAGGTTTTGACGTTAAATGATTCTGTAACCCCACAAAAACGAGGATAGAGTATAATCGTGTCAATTGAGTTTCCGCCACATTGCAGTGCTGGCGTGTCAGTTCGTGAAAACTAAAATAATCGTACGCATAGAAAGAAAAAAAATCGTTCGCGCAACTTCACGAAGTGCGCACACAGCGCGTGCGTGTCAGTTCGTAATAACGATGACTATTTTGTTATCCACATTAATACAAGAATAAAGGTATATAAAATGATTGTTATAATTGTTCAGACTCAGTAAATGTTTCTGGTTTACTACAAGATATAGAACTCTTATTTACATTTAGATCATGAAAACTTTGTAAGGTTTACCTTTGTGTATAATATTAAAGACAGTCGTGCATGATCCAGAATATTGCACAATAATATCCGCATTGGGGGGAAATTCCCGCGTTTTACCAACTGTTATTCACGGAGGCGAATTGGGCACGTGGTTTCTTGGCTCACACAGATGGTTCAGGAGGTTTGTTGCCTGGCGACCGATCAGCTTGGGGCTGGTATAACTTGAGACGTTCTTTGGCCCCTCCTCGCATCATGGCAGCAGCTGTCACCACTTGACCGAAGTCCACTCTGGAGAAATAAAGGTACAAGTGAAAATGAATCACCAGGGTAGGCCAAAAATACATTCATACAAATCAATCGTAATTATAAACTGAAATTCCACCGGTTAGTGCACGAAACCACTGCTCGAACCACTGCGCGCTCGAACTAACGTCTGGTTCACAGACCAAAGGGTTCAAACCATTCTGACAAAATATGTACTCCCAGGTAGTAGTCTGGTTCCCGCTCCCATAATATGGGAACCGTACGCGAATTACACAATAGTACAGGGTACCCATTTTTCAGGCGACTTGAATCAAGGTTAAAGGATTGTAGAGCGCCGCGTAGCAGCGCTCTAATCCTGTAACCTATTACCTACGCGCGCGCATATACTCTCTCCACATGTGTGAAAGTATATAATTATGAATTGCAGGATTTGGCCGAGCATCGCCGTCGCCGTTGCCTAATGGTTAGGCATGCTGGCCATTGATAAGGGGTCCCGAGTTCGATTACTCTGCGCTCTTAAGATTTAGCTTTTTTTTTAACAATTTAAAGTTTTATCTTAGAAACTTTATTTTTCATTCGGATACTACTTGTATAGCAGCAATTTTCTTGTTCTTTTCTGATCCGAGGCTCTGGAGGATTTTTTTAAAAGGGAAATAAAGTCCGAAATCCGTACCAAGTTAAAACATAGTAGCCTCCACTCAAGCCTGGTTATAAAAACCATGCTCCATAGGAAAGCGCATAAAGTACCCCAGATAGTTGTGTAAAAAAAAATATCGCGAACCGTACCGGTAGCTAGTTCCCTTTAAGGCCATTGATTGGATCACCTCTATCTATTTTTTTTTTTTTGCATTATGAATACTTACTGCTGCAAAAAGGAAAATCACAAAGTTTTCCTTTAGCTACAGAGTTAGACTGGTTCCCATTACCTACATCATCTATTCTGACTTCGAATATTTACACAGTGAGACTAGAGAGGGCGGAAGGTAACCCACCATTAACGAATTCTTCTTTAGCTTAGCGATAGAGAGCGGTAGACAAAGTCTTGTCATGGGGTGTTATATTTTGTAGCTGTCGGTTCCCGATGTGGCATCCATTATAATAATAGAATTTTTCTAGCAAGAAGAATAGCGTCTGCCAATTCATCAATTTCATGGTTAATTTCACACACCTAATATATCTCTGCAAAACTCAATGAAACGTACGTAAAGGTCATGTTTGAACGTTAATAACTCACCACGCTGCTGTTGATTTTGCAAACAATGCGATACAAAAAAAAAATGTGGGTCATGGCTGAACACCTTTTTACCTTGTTACCACAGCAACTTGCCTTTCTGGTGATTTGGCTACGCATTTTTAATAAAACAAAATACCCAGACAATAAACGCTGATTCAACATCTACCATTCACAAGTGTTACCATACCAACAAGCTTTTCGGGTGACTGGGAATTGGTTTTTGTTGTGTACTGCTCGCGTCAAATTTTCGCTGCGATGATCATAGTCCACTCTGTGCGCACACGCTCTGGATGAAAAAGTGATATCTCTCATTTCTACTGAATTAATTTGATCTGTTGCTTGTCACAGAGGCAAACGAATCATGTATTCGCTGAAATGTTTTGCTGTTTTGGCCATCACTTATGTCATCACAGTGTTAGGATCTCACATCTGCCTGTCTGAACCCGCTGTCACATGTTCTTGCCAACTTCAGTGGCAATTGTGGCAGAACGGGTGTTATCGCCTGACTCCTTCACGGCATTCTTGGGATGACGCCAAGAAAGCTTGCAAAGACATGGAAGGCAAGATGGCCGCTCCCCGCTCGATCGAGGAATTGAAGTTCATAGTGGAAATGGCCCGAAAGGTTGACAGGGATTACGTGGCATGGATTGCTTGTAATGATTTGGAGGTTGAAGGAACTTGGAAGTGTGATGGTCAGGAAGGAAGAGAGCCCTTCCTGGCATGGAATACACAACAACCAGATAATGCAGGCAATCAAGATTGTGCTCTCATATCGGCACTTCATAATGACAGGATGGATGATGCACGCTGTCAAGCTCAATTGAGGGCTTTTTGTGTTCGTCAGGCAGCTTGCACTCATCTCCCAACCCAACCCCGTCAATACTGCCTCTCTACCGACACTCACGGCCGCCTTCTCAACTCAACCTGCCTCCTCGACCACAACATCCGGGAGTTTATCACCCAGGGCGTGGCCGCCTGTGGCTCAGCCTGCGCCAAGGAGCCCGGATGCCGCTCCTTCAACATCAAGAAAACCGAAGAAGGGAAGAAAGTATGCCAACTGAACAACAGCACAAGCTCCGAAGATAAGGACAAGTTTCAGAAGACCCATTATTTCTGTATGTACTCAGAAGTGTGCTTCGGCTAACTGCGTTCACAGTGGAAATAATGGAGATCTGTATATAGTGTACAAACCCAATTACCTTTGAGTGGAAAGACAGTTTGTTAAGATTCCAAAACACTTGGGACTGGATGCTAGTTTCTGAACAAAATCAGCAGCTTCGGCAAACCTTGTGTTTCCATCATATCAAAAGCTGCTAACTGTAGACATCGTTAAAATAGCTGTTAAATGACTCCTATACTACTCGCTTAACATCACAGAAGAAAGAAGAGATATCCTTTCAACAATACAGGTACTTGTAAATGCTTTATGTTCTCAATATTATGTTCTCAATTATGTTCAGAAAAGAATTCAAAACAAATTGTACCGTACCAAAAAATAATGTTAGCAAATAAATTGATGTTACCATTGCATTCTGTAAGGCAGAGCGAGTATTTTAAAAGCATTTTTTTTTAGATTGAGTTTCCATGGTATCGATACAAGTTTTATTCGTGTCATTTGCAAATGCCATAGAGATATTTCATCGCTTTAACCCTAAAAGGGCCGGGGCGGAATCCGCGATAGCCTTGAAAAACAATGCTCGACCCGAGCTGTTCTGACTTTTTAGCCTCAAGTCGTGCGTATCTGTTGATACCAAAAACATAACATTCGGACCAGCGCTACACGCCGTGAAAACTGAATTTCCCCATAATCGTAGTGTACACAAAGCAGAATAACCATTCGTGCATATGAATAATTAATGAGCCATAATTCCAAAAACCGTGATCAATAGTCCTACAATTTCCTGAGTATGTTCATTATTAGTTGTTGTATGCATGTACCGAGTTCATAAATGTTCGTTACTCGATGACCAAGATCTTAGGGGGAGGAATTAGACTGGTTCCTAGTTCCTCTATCATTGATTTTGAATGTTTTATACAGTGAGAGGAAGAGAGGGCGACAAAAACCTGCCTTTACTGGCTTCTTCTTAGCGATGGAGGGCGGTAGACAAAGTCTATTCATGGGTGGGTAAATTTTCGAACTGTTGGTTCCCAATGATGGCGTCAATAAATTGTAATGAACTTTTTGACAAGTACTGAAGCGAGAGTAGGCGATGGAATCCCGAGAAATTTTAAGTTAATTGCGTCACCCAATTAATCTATAATTTTGCTGTTAATTTCACACACTTAATATACCTCTGCAATACTCAACAAAAAGCTACATGTTAATTTCTCACCATTTTCAAGTATCAGGTGTTGCAAACAACGCAATCCAAAACAAAATCTGGGTGATGGCTGAACAACTATTTTTCTTGCTCATGTGACCATTAGGCAATATGAAACTGCTTGTGTGCGACAGTATTGACATTGTCAGTACATTTCGAGATAATGTTTAATTACTCATAATTACTCAAAAAAGTCATACTCCACAAGTTCCCTATTGAGACATAGCTAAAAAAAAAAACATCGTGAGTGCCCCCTTAACCCTGATTGAACTTTTACCCAAAATTTCTGAGGCAAAGATCAGACCCAGGCCAACTCCCACAGGATCTGTATTGTCCAGCTCCGACCATAAGGCTTGTGAAGTAAAGCTGTTGTTATCACAAGGCCATCAATAATCACATCATCATGTCATTAGGCCCAATCTTGAAGCCTGTAAACAGGTAATTCCCATCCTTTTTGAATTGAGCTACATACATGTAGCTTCAGGCTGTTATGGTTGGGGGTGTGTTCAGGCAAAAACTAGGGAGATAAAACTCGAACTTTTTTTGTACGGGTACTGAACAAATACAGAGTTATCTGGGCATGTAAACACGTTTTGGCTTGAAATTATTTTCTTGAGCGAAGAGGGTCTCTATCCATCTATTTATACACTTTGAGTAGGGATTATGTTCACCAACATGGCTACTGTAACGGAGGTGCCGGGCTGCCGGCTGAGGGCGCCAGTACGGACCCACGGTGCAACCGTAGCGTTGGGACCCCTGCTGCTGGGCCAGGAAGACCCGTTGCCAGACTGCGCCGACTCAGTAGTGTGACTTTTGTATAGCGTTCCTTTTTGTTGTGAGTTGTACAAAGAGAGAGCCTCGTGTAAAGAAAGTGGAAAGAATAAATGTCCGTAGAGCCCCGAAACCCTGAAGAATAGTGTCTGTGGTTTCCTTCGTCTGGCGTGTGACAACCCAGGATCCGGTCGACGTTACACTACTGAAGGGGTTTTGTTAGACCGTCACACCCATGCACCCTCCTTCTTAAAAGTTCAGCTCTAGATGATTACAACTAAAATGAAACGATGACGCCTCGCAGAGTTACATACAGACGCCCGGTAATACCCCTGACATTGAACTTGTCCGAATGAAAGCAATGAAAATATAAATTCAACATTGATAACAAGCATGCATTTCAGGTATAATTTGTAAGTTGGCATGTTACCGGCAGGATATTGCCCGTTTTTGGCCGAGTCTACTTGTAGCCGTGGAGGCTATCTGACCTAAAAAAAAAAAATCAGAAGTAGTCAAAATCTTTTGGTCTGGTAACGAGACTTTCTAAGCCCCTCGGCTTAGCTCGTATCCATCGCCCAAACGGGGCGCTGGGAAGGGCTATTCTCTTTCATAAAAAAAATGTGAAGGAAGCACAGACGTCGAAAAGATTCAGCGCGTACGTGTCACACGCTCACGGAAGTGTTGACCTGTGTTATTGTCCAAACAAATTCTGTCCAATCAGGGCTGGAAGAAAATTACGTCATGCATCCTGAAGAAATTAGCCATTCCCATAATTAAGGGCGGTAGGTACAAGCGAACCCCTCAGCTCACCTGAGGCGTCCACAATCCGCAGGGGGCGATATTCCCTCGTCCTGATCATCTGCCTCAGTACTTATCTCCATCTTCTGCACAATGAGACGCAAGAGGTCGTGTTGCTTATCCATCTGGCTTGAGAGTGATTTCAACCTTTAAGCAGAAAAAAACAATAGGATAATTGGAGCAAATCACTTCTCGGGTAAGGTCTCCGAGGAATACCTCATTCAACCAAGGATTTTACAGCTGAAATCTGAGGACACCTGTCGAGAAAAACAGGTTTATCAGAGGCGTAGCAAGTTTATTTTTATTGGGGGGTGGTAAAAGTTCGTAAAAAGGGCATTCGCACATCTGTGCTGAAATGTACACAGGATTTACTCCCGACACTTGACCTCCGTAAATTCAAACAGTGTGGGTTTTTTTTTTTTGGGGGGGGGGGGTGGGGGTGGTGGGCAGGTACAATCTTCCGATGGGGGCGCTGTTTAAACCTGAAGATCATGCACACTGTCGGACAATAGATGGCGCTTTTCAGGGCGGCACACTATTGCCGACGATCGCGCGCAATTTTAAAAGGGCACTTGTTTGAAAAAAAGGGGCACTCTTCACAAATATTGAGGGGGGGGGACGCTGTTGAAAAAAAGGAACGTGAATGGAAAAGGGCAGTCTTTACAAAACATTGGGGTGGGGGTAAATACCCCCCCCCCCCCACTGGCTACGCCTCTGTTTATACGTAATACATCATTTATTTGACAACCAATAACCGATCACTAGTCACAAATCCTTTTTTAAATTTAGTGACATTTTCTTTTCAGCAAATCCAATTTGAAGCACTAATAAAATATTTAAAATTCAAAACACTACAGAATTTGAGCTCCGCGAATTTTTGAAAAGTTGTATGCTTCTTAAGAGCAAATGACCAAGTGTACAATAAAATTGTTGGTCCCCATCCATGCTCACCTTGTATATAATTATCTCATAGTGCATGCTTTCATTATCATCAAAATAAATAAACATGGAACTTTCTAGTATGAAAAAAATAAAAATGTGAGTGGCAAACCTTTTTGACATTCGCATTGCATCATGGGTATGATGACAAACAAGCAGTGCAATTTATGCACAAACCTATGGGGGCAGTGAACCAGTCAACATTTAATTTTTTTTTTTCAGTATTTTTCCCAAATTAATTGATCAATTCACCTAATAGAATTCAGTTTTTAAACTTAAGAAATGAAAGAAGAAAGAATCTTCGAATTTCTTTCAAGGTTTATCAGTCATCAGACCCAGAGGAACGATTGTGATTGGTCAGTGTTGCAGGCGTGCGCTAAAAATCTTGATTCTGATTGGCCATTATTCCGGGCATGAAAATAGCTATGAGTCATTAAACTGGTATCTAAAATGGGATTCCCCCAAAACTATTCATCTGAAAAGCTGTAAAGAAGAGTGATATTAAATTACATTTCAATTTACCAATGAAACAATGTGTGAAACAATGGTCACTATTATTATTGATTTATAATGAGAAATCACATGACAGGCAATGTAAACTGGTTCACAGCCCCATAGATTTGTGCACAATTTGTTGGTATGTTTTTATCCACACCCAAGATGCATTGCAAATATTGCTTAAAGGACTGGTTCATGATCGATGTCACTGCAAATGCATGTTCGAATCTGTGACGTCATAAGGCGAATTTGACGTCACTGAACATTTGGTGTGAAATTTACCGGAATTGACAATGTATTCAAGTATTTTTTTTATCGATTTCGCAGCTGGAGTATAAACCGGCATTTAGCAGTTACTGGCGCTGCGAATTCGTAAAAAAGTTAATAGCCCTACACAACTTTATACGCTGGCACAAGGTTAAATTTGCCCGATTTCGGGTGATTCGCAATGTAGTGCACCACCGAGAGTTTGCCACGGAGAGTCCAAAACATGACCCATTTAAATGAGCGTCAGTAGACAACTTGAGCCAAGTTGTTATAGATTGGGGCATAGCGTTCTACCGTCTCACACACAAAACACACATTGATAACAAGAAAAGAAAAGGGCAAGCAAATCCTCGAATCATACGATTACGAAACTATTAACTCGAAAAACTAACAATTTCAAATGTCCCGCGCTGCGAATTTTTCGACCATTTCCCACAATGCACTGGGATATGAACTCTCCGTGGCAAACTCTTGGTGGCGTACTGCATTGTGAATCGCCCAAATCATGAACCGACTTAATGTGACATTTCAGCACTTTGGTGATAATGAATAAACTAATTATTCAATCCTACTTTTTCTTGAAGATGTTCATCTCTGAGCTACACTCCCGGCCTTCCCGAGAGCCTGTGAAGAGCTGGCAGCTTTTCATGTTTGCCTCCACCTTCTCTAGGTTGCTTTCCCCGTACATCGACTTTTTAATTTTTCTCCATAGTTTGTTTCCCTGCATGTAATCAAATTAAAGCATATAGAATATAGCAGTGGCAATACAGGGTGAATCAAAAAGAAGTATACACTCAAAACAAATCCAGAAAATTGAAATTCAATATTTTGAATATCGCTTCATACATAATAAGTAGATACACCTGTCAGATTTTAAATGACACCCATGATCATTTTGGCGCTTTCATGCGTGACAGATAGGGGCTAGATTTGCAAACTGTGTGAAAATGAGCATGGTGTCATTTAAAGCCTGAAAGGTTTATCTGCCCCACGCAGCAATATTCCAAAAATATTAACAGTTTTCATTTGAGAAACATTTTTCCAAGTGTATACTTCTGTTTAAAGTGTCTAACCAATTTACTCCCCCCCCCCCCGAACAAAATTGTTTTGCAATGATTTGTAATACAAAAATAATGTATTAGTATGGAACCGGGGAAAATAGTTCTTTGTTAGAGATGAAAAGCACAATATGGTGAACCACACAAGAAATGGATATTAAAGCAGACACACTGAGATGGGGAAGGGTTCTTAAAATCTTACCGAGGCTCCTTTCTTATGAGACTAGATAGAACAAAATGCAGAAAGTAAACAAAAATGTATTTATGAATAAATTTCGAAAAAACAAACATGTCTGAACAAAATGAGAAGAAAGCGGGCCTATTTAATTAAGCCTAGCGGAAATTGAAATTCAAAACGCAAATTAAAAAAATTAAATTCAAAATAATAAAAATAAAAAAGTACATATGCAAAAAGCGTTACAAGAATGGTCGGTACAAGTTCTGCAAACAGTTATTTCATCATTTCATGTTTTATGTCAAGGGTGCGTCATTATCACGTGGCTTCGTTTTGCAATTTACACGCGCAAGGGGGCGGAAGCCCTTTCCCGTAAAGGATTCAGGCCAGTAATTAGGCCCGAAACTCCCTACGCCGGCCAAATCACCATTTGCATGCCCTCAAAATGTTTGCTATAAGAGCATTTTGAACTCAAGGGTTTTGTAAATTTAAAAAAAGGTGGAAGCTGCGTGAACATGACTGCGAACCTGTGTTTGAGTGAAATTCGGATGAAATTTGGCCCTAAAATTGCTCTATTTTGCAATAGAGTGTATCATTATTCAAAATGGCGATGAGATTCAGGGCTACGTTCAAGGGTGATCATCTTCGGGTGGAAGTTTCTCCCAAAAGTCACCGGTTAACCTCAAAAAAATTGAACAGAAATGAAAGATGATGAAATAAGCTTTAATTGGAGTGTGTCTCAAACACCTTGGAGAGTTCGGACTATTTTTCCTGAAGTTTGGAAGTGAGGTGGGATTGACCACTGGGCTCTACGGTGGCTAGCTACTGGTCTGCAACCATTATGTGTGTATTCGAACGCAGCCTTGGATAATTCGATTTGTTTGTAATGACGACAACCCATGTTGGGAAGGTATAAAGCGCCCTCTATGGGTAGAAGATGACCTACATAGCGTTCCCGTTGGCAAGACTTCTTATTGGGAAAGATGATGACGTAATCCATGTCGACCCATTCCAAGATTTTGGCGGGAATCTTCTGTTCCATCTCCGTGTACATCTCCACCTGCATGGCCAGTCGCTGGAGTTTAGCGTCTTGTTGAACCTTAGCGATATCGCCGACGGCCAGACCGATCTAAGGTTGAGGATCGATACGACAAATTAGTTATCGATACCTGATCAAAAATCAGTGAAAACAACGGCATTACACTTTTACCTTTTGACGTTTGGTGTACAGTATAACACTAAAAACTTTCTAAAGAAGACTTTCGTTTGGTTAACAACTTATAAGAATAAGTCGCACGTTACTCTTGAACAAAGGATATAACTGCGCTCTTTTCAAGGAAAGTGGCCCAAGACTATTTTGAACCCTTAAGTTCGATAAAGCATAGCGTTTGTTCCAATGCATCGATTTGAGTGAAGTAAAGTTTGTTGGTAGATTAGTTATCTGACTTTAAGAGGTAATTTGAAAATATTCCAAAACTCACATGCACTATATTAATTGGTTTTCGACTGTTTTTTTTTTTTGTGGGACAACCAGTAACCGCGGCTAATCAACCTATAAAAAACCAAGATTCTCACCAAAAGATTCATGAGAATGATGGGCAGGAACAAGATGAGCAACGCCAGGAACGAAAATGACAGGTGCATGAAGGGCATGGTTCCTATCTCATCATCAGTGGAGGGCGCAACGAAAGAGTTGATGAAATCAATCTCTGCCATCATCATGGTGTAGACGCGGAAAATGGCAATCGGGATCGACTGGAAAGCGTTGTTTTGCTGGGTGATAAAAACAATTAGTACAGAAAGTCCTAACATATACCACAGGAATGGACCATTATCATGTTGCGGCCGTCTTGATTTGTTCCCATCCAAATCACAAAACCACAGCGAGGCTGGAAGGAAAAATACAAATTCAAATTCAAATTCAAGTTTATTATCCACGCACTAAAAAGTAAAGAAATTTCCCTTCCACTGGCTTTTCTGAACATTGACATCACATAAAACCACTAAACCAATGTACAGTATAATATTGTGTAATTATACATTACACAAACATTTCTTAAGTCAGCATAGCGCACATTAGTCTGGTTCCTTTTAACACAACAAAAATTACCATTCAGTACCGATATTGGATACAGGGAACATGACTGAAATTGTCTGGTTCCTTTTCGCACAACAAAAACATCATCATTCAGTACCGATATTGGATACAGGGAACATGTCTGAAATGGTGGAGCATAATAAAGGTCTATACCTGACGATGTGAGAAACATATTATTGTCATGTCACTCTAACGGTAAACTAGAGAGTCACAGAGAATCCCAATTGATAATGAAGTTCAGGCGGGAAGTCAAGCACGACATCTTAATTTTGTATTTTAGTAATTCAAATTCACTTATAGCCAGAGGGTTAGAATATTAAGAATCAAACTTGGAATATAGCACTCCCTTTTGGGGAAAGTATTTCACTCGTTGGTGACCCATTCCTTATCCCCATCATTCTTCCTAAAGAGTGACCCTTTTTAACAGAGACAAGAAGCCGTGAAGAGGTGTGCACACCGATTGGGAGAAACCGGTCATTTGTGACACTCGTCCTTTTAAGGAAATTTTAGCACCGACAATCGGTAGTGGTTAGAAATCTTTCTCGCTTTAGCCGTTCATTATTTACAAACTACAAATATTGTGATCACAATTCATAAAAAGACCGGTTTTACCACGGCGAACCGAAAACCTATGCATGCTTTGGCGACATACCATGCTAAAGATAATAATTAGGTACCGGTATATAGCACAGAACAAGTCAATTTTGATACCAAAGACGTTTACTAGTTAGGGTTGCGGTAACACCATGTGGAACAATCTCTGTTGAGAAGATATTTAGTTCTGAAAAGAACCGGTTGGTTGTGAAACTCGTTTGAAAAGACGTTTACGTGTACAACGCAAAGTTTTAGAAAACACTTCAATTTGAAAATACTCTAACCACACATTGTTTGTCAGTTTTCTTATCTTGCTAAAAGTTTCTTTGACTTTGATTTTTTTCCATTGTCAATTTGCAGAATTCCAATTTAGTCGGCATTCAATTTTTTTTTGTCTGATCGTATAAATTAAGGGTGAATTTCTGTCATGAAGGTTTAAAGGGAATGTACAACATTTGCCTTTGCTGCAATTTTCAGAAATAAATGGATTTGGAGGATTAATATGTTATAGCAAATATTGTCAAACTGACTTGTTTCACTTTTTTGGCTTGTAGATGCTGGAAAAACCACAAAAAAAAACAATCATTTTCTTGAAGTCCGGTTCCCTGACCCCACTTAAGATGAAACGGAGCGATTTATAGACTTTGGGAAATTGATAGGTATAGAGAATCAGTCTAGAAGGCTTGTACTCCTTCACAGGTGTGTAATCAATTGCAAAAAAAATGCGGAATAACTAAATATGAAATATTTGGAGTTTTTTTTGAAGAAAACAAACCCAGTTTTTTCCAACGCTGGAAAACGTCAGCACACCAGGAGCCACGATTTTTCAGGATGCTTTAGACTGTCGTTCCCTAACAATCCAGTCAGGTATTTCGAGATGATTTGACCATTTCGTTTTATGTTGTATCTTCCCTTTAACTGCTGAAATCAAGTGATTGGGTTTCACCTACCTCGTCCTTCATGAGCATGAACAAAGACATACTGAATGCAACGATGAGGGTAATGAAGATTATCAGCACGCGAACCAGCGTCTTCAAAATCACCTGGAACATCACCACGTAGATGCCAACCGCATTGATCCTATTACAAAAATAACAAGTGATGTGATGAAGTAATTGTTCTCGTATTTGAGATCCGTTCTTTCAACCATTGCATTGTGTTTGTTTACACAACTGCAAAATACATGCATCTACGACGTATGGCAGCAGTAAGAAACTCACCTACATCCTCTGCCGCAGAACAACTCATTCATGCTTTCATATCATCCAGATTAGATTTTTGCAATAGCCTACTTGTAGGTCTACCACAACATACGATAAAACGTCTCCAACTTGTCCATAAATCTGCCGCTCGCACACTCACAAGAATGAAATCATCTTGCCACATAACACCCATGTTGCACAAACTTCACTATGACTGCTTTCCAATCCAGTACCGCATACAGCTATACAAAGTTCTCTTTCTTACATTCAAAGCTCTTCATGGCTTAGCCCCACTGTATCTGAAGGAAATGGTTCAACATCGTCAACCGAGTCCGGGTCTCAGGTCGTCATCCAATATACTTTTTGTCCCGAAGACTCGTTTGGCGACCTACGGAGACCGAGCATTTTCCAGCTCTGCACCGTGCCTGTGGAACTCGTTACCAGACGAGTTGAGGGCAATACATCAATCATCTCTCTTCACACGCCAACTAAAGACCCACGAGGTACTCCCTCACACATAACGTCCTCTACCTTCACACACACTGACTTTTCACTGACCGGCGACTTTGAATGACTATTATTTTCAGATACTGTGCGCCTTACACATGCTTTGTTATTATTATTACATGTGCATACCTTTGTTTTACGAAAAGCTCAACTTTATCACTGCTTTGACTAGGAAAAATTCGAAGCTTCTTTTGTCCTTAAAAAGAATATTTTATGGTTGGTCATGATTTGAGCGTGAACATGAGTTTTTATAAATGGGTACAAAAATATGAGAGTGCCACAGATGTTTATTAATATTTTAGTAAAGATTTGCAGAAGCAGACATAGAAAAAATTAAACATTAATAACGACGAAAACATGCCAAATACGTAAATGTTTTAATAACGTTTTATATTCCAGTTCCAGTTTTATATTCCGAGATTTGAAGGTAAAACACCGTTTGTCAAACAAAATGTATTTTTGCAAACTCAATAGCATACTTTTTAAGAAAACTGTGAAAATGCATGATGATTTTTCTCGACGCAAAGCAATGTTAACGTTAAAAGCCATCCCTTCGAACAGGTTCATCTCCTACAAAAACATCTGACTGATACTTCATGGCTAATATCTCGCATTGCTCAAACGTCCGTGCACACACCACCCTGGACATGATATTATACAGAATTTGATAGATTTGAAATCAGGAAGGTGGAGGACAAAACCTAACACAGCCGCGGTAATGTATCGACGATTCCCGCTTTAAACACCTATACCCAAATGCTAGAGGCCATAGAGAAATATCCAAACCATTACCTTTGCTGATACATAAGGAAGAGGAACCAAGATAGGAACGCTGCCACAGCACCACACTGCCACTGGGCATCGCAAATTGCATTCTCTTCGCATTGATGAAAGCCAAGCATGAAGGGCAAAATGAAGACTAACGTGCACACGTAAAGGGTCCACTCCAACAGATTGATGTAGTCCCTGAAATACTTGCCAGGCTTCAGGTTGGACAAGAAAAGAGAATATCAAAAGCACTTAGGTTAATGCTTAAAACTAAACGTCATCTAACTCATATTTAGCCCAACCGATATTCCTTACAAAATACGTTAACCATTTTTGTCATTCACGCCGAGATGTCCCGTATGTACCAAAATTTATACCCTGATAAAACGTTACAGCCCGATAGTCCGCAGGTTCGATAGTCCAAAGTTTCTTTAGTCCGAATATTCAATAGTCCGAAGGCTCGATAGTCCGAAGGTTCGATAGCGCAAGGTGCCCATTTGTCCGAAAACAGAAGAAGGTTAAATAGTCCGAAGGTTCGATAGTCCGAATAGACGATAGTGTTCGATAGTCCGAATCGACAATAAGGTTCGATAGTCCGAACTGACGATATGACCTTATTGTCGATTCGGACTATAGGACCTAAGTGTCGATTTGGACTATCAGACCTTATTGTCGATTCGGACTAATTAACCTTATTCTAAATTCGGACTACCGAACCTTCGGACTAATGAACCTTCGGACTATTGCTTCAAATGTTTGGATTAACGAACTCTGTATCATTTTCGGACTAACGAACCCCCTCTTTTGGAAATTTTGTGCATTCGGACTATTGAACCTTCAAACTGAAAAACCTTCTGAAGTTCGGACCATCGAACCTTCGGACTATCGGGTGAACCCCGATAAAACATAAGTATCGTGTATAATTGGTAACAAAATTATGGATCTTGCCCTAACTGTTCCTACGTATCGGAGAAGTGCACTGTTCACTCAGCGTTATCCAATAATTGTGAAAGAAAACAAATCAACAAAAGTTTGCTCATATGGGAGTCGAACCAACGACTTCGTGCTTATAGTGCAGACGTTTCTATAACCACTCGACCACGAGCGCAAACCTCCGCCAAGGCTAAAAAAAAAATCCCCCCATGATTGTCAGTACACCCCCCAAAAAAATACTCGCATAAATGGTGAAGAATCCTTTAAAAAAATCCTAAATCCAGACCCAGATCCGGATCACTTCCAAAATCTAATCGATTTGTACTTGTATCAAGGACCACCCCTACAAAATACTCATGCAAATCCGTCCATAACTTTTTGAGTTATCTTGTTAACAGACAAACCAACCAACCAACAAACAAACGAACCGAATCCGATGAAAACATAACCTCCTTAATGGAGGTAATGTTACCTGTTGATATATCTGTCCAATCTCCTTCAAGATGTTCGCAACAGAGTATATAGCAATGGTCCATATGACGGTAAGCAGCCACTGCAAAAAAAAAAGGTTTATAAATGAAAAAGGAAATCGCTCGCTTTGGTATAAAACGTTATATAGGAAGCTGCCATGTTGTTTGTTATTGACACCCAGCAACACAATTATCACGTGTAGAAAGCCATTTTAATTTCAAAAGCAGACTCCTATCGGGTTCGTTAGTGTGACGTCATCTCAATTCAACCATGCTTACGTCGCATGGTGTAGTATAGCACAAATGGAACCGGAAGTTAACGCAACTAGAGCGTTTATTCAATGGGCGATAGTTATCAGTTGTGCGCGCGCGTGTATGACGTTTTTACTGAAGAACCGGTTAGAAAATTGGACTCGGTTAGCCTATTATTTGATAAACCCTCTCACGTGACCACTTACTCTCCTAATTATCCTACTCATGCATGCGCAGTCTGTATTTCATAGAAACATAAATTCACGCTACACCGGCTAAAAATCATACTTGACGAAACATTCCCTTTGCAAATTCGAAGCACGTCACAAATGACGTCACAAATTCGCGGTCGAGTTTGCTTTTGAACCGAGTATGAACCGACCTAACGCTGTACGTGCACTCACCTTTATTATACATTGCATAGAATTATACCAAATTAACCCCCAAACTTATACATGTCTTGTACGTTTACTGGCACACATTTCGAAACCAACGTCATGTCACTCCTTGCGTTAGAGGTTCTTGCTCAGTTTACCGCCATGCTCATTTTCATTATTAAACAGGGGCGGCGCACTTGCCCCCTCCCCGATTTTCACAGGCCAACAAATGTGCCCCTCTCGCGGTTAGAATGTGCCCCGTCGAGATGAAAACAAAACTGCCCTCAAACGCACATAAATTATGAAAGCATTATGATCGCGCTTCAAATACAATTGTCTCCTCTCTTGTAATGGAAAACTGCCCCTCGAAAGCACAAATATCCCTCTCGAAATAATACATTGTGCTCCTCTCGAGATGGCCGAAAATTGGCCATCAAAAGCAACAGTGCCCCTCTCGCGATAAGAAAAAAAAATGGTCTCTCTAGGTAACTAGTCAAATTCATGGGCGGACCCAGAGAGGTAACTGCCGGGGGCGGAGTGTGCGCGGTGTGCCGGAGGCCCAAGGGCGGGTCCAAGGGGCCCGGGCAACGGGGACCCCACGTCACAAAAAGGCAGTCACTACGTACACTACCATATTTTCCTTTAAATTAAATGGTTTAAGTGGTCAGAATTTGCCTTAGATCGCACCACAGAGCATCTAGAATCCTTTTTCCCCGTGGGCCCTTAAGCGGGCCCAAAACCCCACGCACGCCGTAAACTAGTGGACCCACCATACCATACCGACGGAAGGTGCCCTATTTTTACTGGATGAGTTCCCCTATTTGGTGTTGCCCCCAGTTTAGAGAAGCGTTCCGCCGTCCCTGTTATTAAACACTAACTGATTGTTTTACTCATTTCTCAACGACTATAGCATTTCAGGCAAAACTATTTGTATGCAAGTTTTCCATCATCATGTTTATACCGTGTAATTTATGTGTAAATGGGTGAACTTTTCTGGTTTTCGAGATTCCCAACAGTGAGTAGGGCTTTAAGAACTTGGGCAGAAATGTACTTTGCTACATACTGTAGACAACTGCCATTCCTTTTGTGGGACTGAATCCGTTCCATTTGGAGCGGTGGTGGAGTTGGCTTCGGAAAGGTTCGTGGCTGAAGCGTTTTTGTTGGTGTGCTTGTTGTAGTAATCTGAAGAGTTGACGATGACGGTCGTCATGCAAACAACGAAGAAAATGTGAAGTATCATGGCAACAACGTGGATCCCACAGCCGTAAGATCGCCTGATTTCAAACACACACACACACAGAAACAAAAATAGGAATACAAATTAGATCCAGTACATGTATTTATGTTGCATAACGATGCCTAAAATTATATTGCTTCTTAAATATCAGGGATCCGAATTCCGGGTCAAATCCGACTTGTATCAGGGATCCAAATTCCAGGTCAAATCTGACCGAAATCAGAGATCCGCATTCCGCGTCAAATCCGACCTTATTTAGGGATCCGAATTCCAGGTCTAGTCCGACATGTATCAGAGATCCAAATTACGATCAAATCTGACCTGTATCAGGGATCCGAATTCCGGGTCAAATCCAAACTGTATCAGGGATCCGGATTCCGGGTCAAATCCGACCTGTATCAGGGATCCGGATTCCGGGTCAAATTCAACCTGTATCAGGGATCCGAATTCCGGGTCAAATCCAACCTTTATTAGGGATCCGAATTCCGGGTCAAATCTGACCTGTATCAGGGATCCGAGTTCCGGGTCAAATCCGACATGGGACAGTTTAGAGTTTAGGCAAGTACCTCAGTACACAAACTTAATACAAAATCTGCAGGGAACGGACGTAATCAGCGAATGAATAGAAATATATTTTCCCGATGTCACAACTCACAAGAAATGTTTAAATTCTTCGTGTTCACTTAATTCACCTGAGGCCTTTAGGAAAGTCTGTCAGCGATGTCGTTTCAAACTGTACATGTTTCCTTGTAATAGTTGTACAATAATATAATATATTATAATAGTTGCTTTACAATCATGCAGTAATCCCATCTGTTTTTGTTATATTTCATTGTGTTGTAGTGTATTTGTAATGCATTGTATTTGTACATGTGTGAAGTCATTTGTATTGTTTGCAGGGCCCAAATAGTAACCAGTTTTAATTTGTTTAAATACGGCATACCCTGGGTAAAGAAATGTAGTAAATAAATAAATCAATAACAATTGGTCTCTGCTTAATTAGTTCCTCGATTTACCAGAGGTTCAGTTGCTTTTTGTATTAATCGTGATCAATGAACACGATCCAGATCCTCACCATTTCATGTTGAGGTACTCCACACAGATGGGGTGCGACAAAAGATCCATGTGATTATTCTCAACCATGAGCTGTAGATAATCACATAAAACAGCCGTTATGGTTACAATAAAACCGAACATGTAATAATAGGTATGGTGCAAAATGTCCACGACTGTATTCAATAGGGCGTCGATGAAGACCGTAATAATAATAATAATAACGGGTTCTTATATAGCGCTTTTAACTCAGATCAAAGCGCTTTACATTATTATTACTTCTGATCATTGGGCAAATTAAACAATCTAAATACCATCTCAGCTCCCTGGGGAGTATACAGCTCGATGCAGCCTGTTAGACTCAAGGAAGCTAATTCAATCACAATAACAATCTCTGCCCTCACATGTATTCATTTTACTCCTGGGCGGAGAGAAGCAATGAGTGACAAAGTGCCTTGCCCAAGGGCACACGCACCATGACCCCAGGCTGGACTCGAATCCACAACCTGCAGCTTTACCCGCAGACCACAGCACTCCACACAGAATACACGTTTTTAGGAAAGTTGCTGACTGTAAGGGCCAATTTCATTAATCTGCTAAGCACATACATTTTATAAGCACACATGTTGTGCTTAAAACAAACAGGTAGTCGGCCAAAATGTCACCCTGATTATTTGACTGGTTCTCTTCAGCATTCCTGATTAGCACACAAACTCACAAGCAAAATATCCTGCTTAGCTGTCCCACGACATTCGTCTACTAGCTAATCACTATCATCAACATCGATCCATCATGCAACTTGTGTTTCTTGTTTCTATACATAGTTTCATAGGACATTGATGTCCACATTGCAATATGTAGGCTACAGTATGAATACATGTCGCTTTTTAAAAATCATTCATAAATACCTCACAGACAGTTTACCCATTCCAACACTGTAAAAACGTTGGGTAGAATGGGTTGAAATGTAGACCAGTGCTGGTCAACATAATCAACAGGTTAAACTCTTGGGCAAATTCTTCCCAATACTGGACAATTTTTACCCAAATCAACCCGCAATGAGGTAATTTCAACCCAATGTTGGGTAAAATTACATTGCCCAACAGTGTTTTACCCAACATTTTTTACGGTGTATTGGTCGAGTGCCCGTTTCTTGGCCGGTCTTAAACAGTTGATAAAACACCGGCCGGCTGGTCTTAAACACTTTTCCAGTGTCACATGAAATTTTGACTCCTTTGAAATGTGGTTCCTTTTACCCTTTTATTGGCCGACAGTTCACACTCCTCACTTAGGCATGCGCAATGCTACCAATTAGTCAGTATTTCATAGTCCTAAATTTACACTACACCAGACAGCTGCGTTCTGCGCCACTCGCGCAACACGCGTCACGCGCACGCCAATCTACATATAAGGAGTTGTTTACTACTTCTCACGAGAGGCACGTACATAACACAGTTAGAGGGGTGTTTAAAAAAACATGAAAGAAAACTGTTGAACGAAATCGTTTGAAACTAATTTATATTTGTTTTACTTGTTAATATATTTATATATTCATAAATACCTCAGACAGTTTAGCTATTCCTATTGGTCGAGAGCCCGTCACGTGGCCGGTCTTAAACGGATGATAAAGACATGGCTAGCTGGTCTTAAACACATTTCCAGTGTCACAATAAAATGTGGACTCCTAAAAATCCAGTGCCTCTTACCGTTTCATTGGTTGAACGTTCACAATTCTCACGTAGGCATGCGCAACACTACCAGTGAGTCATAATTTTATAGTTCAAAATTCCAAACGCAACGCCCCAGGTGCGTTCTGCGCGACATCGCGCAGAACATGCCACGCGCGCGTCAATCGCCATAAAAGGGTTGTTTACATCTTACTCGCCAGCTCAACACTCCATTATTTTGCTAGAGGGATGTTTCAAAAAGCAGGAAGTGAATTTGTTGAACAAAATTGGGATTTTTTGAACGAATTATTTGATATTTTTTAAACGAAAAGGTATTTATGAATGGGAATAAATATGTGCTCGGTCGGTATTTATCACTCCTTTTAAGACCGCTTAGAGTCTGGGTGCTGATAATTACCCTCGCCTCCGGCTCAGGTAATTATCAGCACCCAGACTCTAAGCGGTCTTAAACGGAGTGATTAAAACCTCTCGAGCACACATTTATTCCCTTATTAATACATTAAAATATATTTTAATTTTATTATTAATATATATTAATACATTAATATATATTTGTTTTACTTTTTTGACCGAAAAGGTTTTATGAATAGGAATAAATATGTGCTTCAGCTCAAGTCATTATCAGCGTCCAAACCGGTCTTAACATAGTGTTTAAAACCGGTGTCACGGTCTCACTTTTCCGGCGTGCTAGCTTCTCTGGGAGGATTCGGCTGATAATTGAGCACGTTACAGTGCACGTTATATGAGTACGATACATGCTCATGTGTCCGCTGTGCTTACTTTTCCTCGGGATGTATTGTGTTATGTAACACGTCCTGTGGATCAAGTCATTCCACGGTCTTGCAAGCATTCTGATCCCAGCGTCATGCATGTATGTGTGTTCATGGAGGAATAATTAAGAACGAACTCCTTCGTCGAGTTCCTTCTCGTTCGTGGTTCATTTTGTCTTTATTTTTGCAACCAAGGCTTAAAATAAATGTGTATTTCAAGTCTTTTTGGTTATTGGGAGTTGTGCGCGCCACGAAAGTTCTGGATTCGACTGGTATGCAAATATCTTAAGATCTTACGTGCACCAGTACAACACCGAATGACTCAGCACACATTAATAAAGATGACTAAAATGTACACTACTGCGCAATTTTGTACATGCGTGGTGAAGCGAAATTTCCCTTTCAGAGAAGCTAGCACGCCGGAGAAGTGAGACTGTGACACCGGCCAAGCACACATTTATTCCCTTATTAATTAAGGGATATGATGATATGGAAATTTAAGTTATAGGTTTTTACAGGTTGTTGATGATTATACTCACGTTGAGCGTGTGCAGAGGTGGGAAGGGCGAACCCTGATTCCTTTTCTCGATCCGTTCTTCCAGACTTGGCTGCAAGTAATTGAAGTCATACTTCACCCAGAAGTCGGAGCTGACTGAAGGCTGGACTGATCTCGTTACACAACGGTCTAGGACGCTCTTTTGAATTCAAAAACAAGGCAGGAAAATAATCGCTTTTGAAATACCAACTGCCAGATGATACTGTAACGGATAGTTTATGCAGCACTTTTGTTGTCATTGCTTTCTTGCACTAGTGCTCCGGCGGCGGGGCTCCGGCGGTGCGCACCTGACCTGGTTTTTGGTCTGGCTGGCGCGCACTCCTGAAATGGGATCTATAGGTTTGGCAAGATGCCGGGGTCATCACAAGTTTGGCTGGACTCCGGAGGACAAGAGCCCAATAAGTTCCCGTTACAATACGAAAAGAACAAAACGCAGAAGTAATTTATTTCTCCAATTATTAAATGAAGATATACGTAACTCCATTCTGCATAAGTCGCATCCACCGCGAATACGCTCCAAGCAACAAGGTCGTATCTCGACGTCCATTGACTTTGTTTGTGTATAGATCCGGGTTATTTTAAGTGAGATGGGACCTTTAAACATTATTCCTAAAACTCGCGTTTCAGGTATTGTAGGAGATACGACCTTGTTGCACAGACACGACGATATTAAAATATACTCGCACCATTTTGGAAAATTAATACTATGCCAAACATTATCCTGTGCTTAAATGAATGGACACACATGCATCCAACGCCATAATAGACCTTTAACTATCATGCTTCCACCATTTTAGTCATGTTCCCTGCACCCAATAACAGAACTGAATAATAATGTTTTGTACAAAAGGACCAGACAATTTTTCCTTCCAGCCTCGCTTTGGTTACATTAATCTGAATGGGAAAAAAATCAAATGGCTGCAACATGATAATGGTCTATAGTGTCTAATGCTTTCTATTTGATGTTATCCTGCTATAGCTATATATTAACAAAACAACTTGTCGAGATGACGCCCCCATCTGGATGTTCACAAGACAAGGAGAAACACTCACTTGGTACACTTCCGGCATTTTACTAATAAGGTTTCGAGCACCCTCGTCCCCAGCCTCGGTGAAGAATGAATCAAAAACGTCCTGCCACCTGCAATCAATTTTTAAAAATCATAATAATAACCGTCAAAAACATGCGTAGTAACAAGATGTCGGATATGTATAGATCCATCAATCCGGTTCGTTAGTGTGACTTCACTTCAGTTTAAACCACCCAACCTGCATCCACTGGAACCATTGGAACCGGAAGTTAACGCAATTTGAGTGTTTACCCAATGGGCGCTAGTAATCAGTGGTGCGCGTGCGTGTATAACGAAGCCACTAACGAACCGGATTTAACCCTAAAGGGGCCGGGGGCGGAATCCACGGGTTGCCGTGTAGCGAACAATTTTCCGTGAAAACTGAATTTTCCAATATACGTCGGGTATTCAGAGCAGAATTGCCATTCGTACATATGAATAATTAATTAGCTATAATTCAAAAAACCCTTTGACCTATAGTCATGAAATTTCTTGGGTATGATTAGGAAGAGTTGCATGTACTGAGTTTCAAAATTTTTCATCACTCGACGGCCCCCCCCCCCCCGGCTGAGAGATGGTAAAAATTACCCGGCCCTTTTAGGGTTAAACCGCCTCAAGATGTTTGACCAATCACCGCCCTCGACTAAAATCCCACTGGAACATTGAAGAGGTACACGTGTTAATGTCAAAGTTCGCAGTGGGCGGGGCCTAATGCCAAAGTGCGTAGTGGGCGGGGCCTAATGCCAAAGTGCGCAGTGGGCGTGGCCTAATGCCAAAGTGTGCAGTGGGTGGACCATAATGCCAAAGTGCGTAGTGGGCGGAGCCTAATGCCAAAGTGCGCAGTGGGCGGAGCCTAATGCCAAAGTGCGCAGTGGGCGGAGCGTAATGGATCGGTCTAATATCAACTTGATGTAATCACCTATCGTGAGCCACGATTTTCTGAGCCACTTCCACTTTGTTAGCTGCCAGAGTAGCCGCCATTAAGCCGTGTTTGTCACCGTTGCTTAGCAGAGATGCATGGGCTGTTAGCAGGAAATCCACCGAAGCCGGCTTACCCTCCTTTGCAGCCAGGAGTAGAGCAGTATCCTGGGAATCGAAGATCAAATTCATTGTCAACGCATGTCCAAATCGTATATGACCCGGACCATTAAAAACTTTGCATAAAACATGATTGTAAAAATATAAATGTGTAAAATGAGGCAAACAGCTGTGTTATTGGATACAAAATGTCGCTCGTTATTTAAGAGTATTGGGGAAAATGAACACGCATTCAATTAAAGAGATTAAACCATTCGATTAATACCTCTTTGAAAGTTTATCTCTGTGATGCGAAAACACGAACCAACCGATACAAAAGATGATCGGGGTAGCATTGTTCCTGGGAATCATTTTATGCAATCGTTGCGATCGATAAACGTTTAGAAAACATGAAATTAAATAGTGCATTTTTAAAATCTGCTGAGTGTTATTAGGTGTTTTTCTGTCAATTCGCCGCACCCCTATACATTTTTTCAAGTATAACGTCGCCTTTGTCAGTCCGTAGATTCAAATCTTACGGGTATTTCGCCACCCATACGTTCACACCGATCGGACGTAGCTTTCGCACAATGTGTCCAATTTCTGATGCGAGGTATACCAACAATCTTTGTTTTCCGTTGACCGTGTACCGGGAAAACTCATTCACGAACGAAACCATTGAATAATTTTATTCAATATCATAACTACAAAACGCTTTGTCCTGTTACACTGAAACCTATCTGCTAAGCATAAAAGTCTTCATTAGTTTACGAAATTTCATAACAATCGCTTATATTTGAGAACAGCATGGCGATAACCTCGTCCCCAGGGTTTCGAGCAGTACGCGCTCACAACTATACTTGCTCCCTCACCCTGGTATTGGATCATTTGTATGTGCACAATTTTTGAACACGTATGCAAATGAGGAATAGTTTGGTACCTGCCTGTAAGTTACATAAGCGTTTGTATTTGTACGCAGCGTCTGGGATAAAAAAAGAATCAATTCGTCGGGTCGTGAGTTACGAAAACACGATTGTTTTCGAAGTTAAAATGTTACAAGCTTATCCTGCCAATATGCAGTAACACATTTCATATTAATATGAGCAAATAACGAGTATTTTTGACCGGAAGGCGTGGACGATATAATTACAATGATCGTGCAAACACGTTACGCACGTTGAAAAAAACAACACCAACTACACGATTAAATCCATTACTAGCCAATTGCGGTATCGAATCAGGATACAGGAAGAAAGTTTTCTATCCAGGGCTTACTATTGGAAATGAGGTTGGAAATAAAGTAAGCACTGGGGACGAGATTGGAATGGCGTTGGACTCTCTCTCAAAAATCCTCCTCTTTCAGAATACACTTGTACATACTCGATTGTCATCGGCTTGATCAAGTAGGTAACTATGCGTAGTGAGCAGAGTCTTCATACAATCTAGATAACCAGCCATAGCTGCCAGGTGAAGTGGCGTTCGTCCTTCGTAATCCCTGAAATTGGAAGGAATGTTCAAATTGTTACGTTCTGCCGAGCTAATAAAAATCAGTAGTGAAACGGCAGCTGCATAAAATGATAACTCAAAGAACAAATAACAGATAGAACAGTGTTGTGGCATCGTGGTTAAGGGTATTGGATTCGTGGTCTGCGGGGTAAAGTTGCAGATTGTGGGTTCAAGTCCATCCTGGGGTCATGGTGGGTGTGCCCTTTGGCAAGGCACTTTGTTACTTATTGCTTCTTTCCACTGCAGGAGTAAATGAGTACCTGTGAGGGCAGAGATGGTTATTTTGATAAAATTAGCTTCCTTGCGCCTAACAGGCAGCATCGAGCTGTATACTCCCCAGGGAGCTAAGATGGTATTTTGGATTGTTTCATGGCCCAATGAGCAGGGGTAATAATGATTTAGCACCTTGAGCGCCAGTCCTGGTGGATACGAGCGCTTTGTAAATACCCACTTTTATTATTGGAGTAGCAGCAGCTGGATATTTTTGTTAATTCAGAGAGATCTTTTTAATTAGGTTTACTATTTTTTTGGATTTGACAGCAAGCTCTAATATGCAGCGCTTTGTAACTGATTATGATATAGTGTAATAGTATTGTGTGCTATTTTCCCATTGTAATATTAAAACTAAAAGGTATGTGTAGTTGATGGAAGTAGCGATAGCTGATTATAATTTGTTTCCTGACAATTTTAGACAAAAAGACAAAAACTGTATTTTTATGACAGGGACATGGTTATGGGAGGGGCATGGCCCCCGTAGCCCCCAAGATCCGCCAATGGGTGTTCCTAACTTCACTTGTCAAGTCTGTTCAATTTCCTGGCCACCAGTGTTTCACCTGTGTAGCAACGCCCCTCGGAGTAGCAGCAGCTGGATAACTTTAGCGTGGCCATTGAGTGCAGCGATATGCAGGGCAGTCATTCCTTTTCCATCAATGTCATTGATGATGTTGGGCCCGATGGAACTATCCAACAGGCGCTTGCAGGAATTGAATCGACCATACCTAGATAGTCACAGATGGTATATGGAGGAAACGTAGAGCAAAACTATTGGTTATACAAGACTGGAGGGAAGTTTGATAAACGAAACAGCAATGAGGGAAAGTCAAACAAAATGCAATGATGTAAAGGAGCCCTTTTTTGGGCACAACCGAGTTGACGTTTAACGTTGTAAGAATGACATATTCATTAGTAACCTTGCGTGAAAAAAATGCAGTTAATCGCATTTACCATTTGTCTTTTGTGAACCTTTTTACTGCGGTGCCCGATTGGCGTTTCTGTCTATACACGAGGCGTCTAAAATTGCAAAAAAGCACAACATGTGCCCCCCAGAGCCGTTCTTTCCATGAGGTCTAGAGGGGAGACATACATTCCCTGGCGGGGTTGCCAACGACACAGTCACTATAGTATAGCCCAGAGAAACTTTGCATTAACATAAAGAAGTGAAACTGAAAAATAAAGCTTGAGCTAAGGTTCAGTCAGTTTTAAATCTGTTTTAACTATAATATATTTTCTGTTTCCACTCTTATGCCAACTTTTGAAACCTCGTGGACAAAAATGTATATCGGGTACCGCAGTAAAAATGTTCACAAAAGGCAAACGGTAAATGCAATCACACAAGCTTACTAATGAATATGTCATTCTTACAACGTTTTAAAAGTTTAAAACCACGTAGTTTGAAAAAAAAAATGGCTCCTTTACAGCATTGCAGTTTTTTTTAACTCTCCCTGTGTTTCCATTCACATAAGAGAACGGAATTTATACAATGATTACAATCGACGAGCCTTCGCTCAAACTTCAGACGCAGGTATTTGGGGAACATATTCTATACCAATTCTAACGTAGTCTCACGCTGGCTTTCATTAGTTACCGTAAGGTTGATACACACTATTATGACAAATATCCTGCTCGGGATATTGCGCAACCTCAAAATTGCTTACGAACACAATCCTCTTGTACGGTTAGACAGCCCCTAACTGAGTGGCATTTACCCAACTTACTTGGCGGCGAAGTGTAGTGGTGACTGTTTTTGGCAGTCTTTGAGATTAACCGTAGCTCCGAGTTCGATCAGACGCTGCAGGGATTTAATGTTACCGTCCCGCGTTGCGTAGTGGATAGGCGTACAGCCACGATTGTCCATATCGTTCAAGAGAACTTGCATATTTGACTGTGCATGGAAAACAAACGTGCAGTCGCTTTGGTATTAATCCTTTTATTATGAGAACAAAGGTGTTTGTCTTTTTATGAGCTAAGAAGATACATTGCTGTGTGAACCTGGAAAAAGGCATTCTCTATCTGTACATAAAGCAATTATCGCCTAGTAGGTATAAAGTACACCATTGCATCATACAAAAGGCCACTACGGAGATATATGAAACAGATGTATAATGACGTAAACAGATCATAAATGGTATAATGATAGAATTGAATTTAAAAGGCGTTCACATGAACTGTCATCATCAAGAAGAATAATGAATGTTCTTTAACCTAACAAAATGTACGAAGTCACCAAGGCTTCTTTTGAGTTTCACAGAAGTCATTTTTTTCTACCCACGTATCCTTCAAGGATAGAACATCAAAATGAAGAACTGGCTTTTAAAACCAAATGTAACATATTACAAACGCTTTTTTGGTAACGCTTTGTAAACATTGTAGCGCGTTTTGGGGGAAAAACGCAGCAAAAGGCCTATGTGCTGAATTTTGAGTCGGATTCATTATGTAGATATGATGTATTCATGTATCAAAAACAAAGCCTCAAACAGCCGGTTCAAGTGTTACAGCTGCCTTATAACTGTAATTTGACTTCCAGAAAAACTAATTACAATTTACAAACATTCCAATTATATTACAAACGCTTCGTGTTTAACATGTTTATAAACGGCTATTTTTGTTTTTCAGTGTTTAAACGATGTATGAGGTGTCTAAACAGAATTGTTCATGAAGCGTTTATCAGTTAAAAACGATGTTTATTGTGCCAAAAAGAGTTCATAAAGCGTTTATAAGTTAAACACGATGTTTAGTGTGCCTAAACAGAACCGTTCACGAAGCGTTTATAACTCAAACACAAGTTGCCAAAAAGCGTTTATGAGTTAAACAATACGGTTTACTATACCTACCTTCGTACACGTCAGTCCGTACGTCGTGATATTTTTGCCGCTTAAGACAGCCAGATGAAGGACGTTCCTGTTTTGGCAATCACGCAGACTACAGTCCGCCCCGTGCTCATTAAGAAGCGAAACTGAGCGGAAACTTCCCCGAGACACTGCGCGGAGTAACGGGCTGCAACCATGCTTGTCAACAACGTCCATGTCAGCACCCTGCGCGAGGAGAAATGGTGTGGAGAATTATCCTGCCACAATTTCCTCTTTTAAGAAATGGTTTCGGATTCAAATCGTTTGAGCAGAATATTGTTGTTTACCTCATCAAAGGAGATTCCACTTTCATGGCGGCACAATTACAGGCGTTCAAAAAAAGGGCACTCGTGAAAAAGGGGCACTTTTGAAAAAAGGGCACTCGTTACAAACTATTTGGGGGTTTAATACCCCCTTACATCCCCCATCAAAGGAAATTCCACTTTTCCTGGCGGCACAGTAATATTACAAGCGTTCAAAAATGAGCACTTGTAAAAAAAAAAAAAAAGGCACTCGTTACAAAATATTGGGGGGGGGGGGGGGGGTTGGTGGTTAAATACCCTCTTACACCCCCACCCCCCGCTACGCCACTCAAGATGAATTTAGTTTGAAACTAGAACGGGACATATTGTATTCTGTATTTACCTGCGCTATCAAGAAGTCAACGACATCAACGTGATCAAACATAGCCGCCCTGCAAAATGAAAAGTCGTGTAGAAACTTTAAGCCGGGAGAGTATTATAATTCACCCTCAAGTCAGACAAATTATACGTAAAAAGTAATAGGAATATATTGGGCAGTAAGCAGAAGACTACATCATGGACCAAGAGCTGCATTGTAAGTTTCGACAAAAAGGGGCTGAAAAACGCTTGGGGCGCTGTTCAAGGCGATCGAGGACCGCTCAATCGTCCCCACCGCCATATCCATGCCTCGTGCTCTAATCCCTTTTCGAAAAAACTCGCAGAGGACACACAGGTATCGCATTGTACGTAGGTACCACAAGGCTTATACGTGCATTTCATGTGAGTGGATTGCGCGCATTACGGATGTGCTAATTCACTGTCACTGACTGTACGGAATGTATCAAAATAAGAATTCAGAGAAGTTGGATTGAACACTATTGAGCACCAGGTGGCGCTAAATAGTGACACGACTTTGCCGAATACAATTTGTTAAGACCAAAACAGTCATTCAGACCCCATGCAGCGAAGCCCTTGAATACATCACAACAAGAATCTTAAGTATAATTTCCGCACTATTTGATTGTATGTTTATAGCTGGGCGTACCTATGTAGTGGCGTCATCATCTCGACATCACACATGGTCAGCGTTTTCTCGCTTCCTGGTGGACTAAGAAGCAGCTTAACGATGGGAAGAGAGCCTTGAGATGCCGCAAGATGCAGAGGAGTGGAATCATCCTCCTAAAGGAAGGCACAAAAGCGGGTTATTTAACAATACAGCAGCGTAGATTATGCGTAGAACAATCATCCGTAGGATGAAGGAATATAAATAAACATGTATAGCTTGGTAGCTCATGAAGCTGTCTTGCCGAGCTTTCGGGCATTTGTACCTCTTCAGAGGAGTTACGGATCTATTAAACTGTTTCCATTAATCGTTGGATAGATCGATAGTTTCTTTGGTGTTCTGAATACATCCTATGCATAATACCCCGTTTTAGGCCCCTTTCAGCAGTTTAAATATACAAGTCCCATCCACCTTTTGCCAATGGCGCACGCAAGATATGTCTTTGCAGGGCTCACCAATAATTTCTTTTACTGACCGCTGCAAATGACAAGCGGACGGAGCGTGAAACCAATCTAACGAAATGGACGATGCATTATGCTTGCATGCCTGGACTATATCCCCTGCTCTGGCAGTTTCTGATCAGAATTTTACAGGGCGCCGGGGGAGCCCTTCACGGGATGCGCCCTGCCCCTTGCTGCCACTCCAATGACGTCCATGCTGAGGAGAAGTAATACTTGTCAATCCCTGTTTTTCGGGGTAGGTGACCGTAGCTATTAAAGTGGATATTGAAGTGGTCAATTTGTGATATTTCGGGTCAAGATTTTCCCATTCCTTTTCTGCATCACTCCGATCAACCAGCAGAAAAAGGGTAATATGCACTATGAGCTATATTCACAAGTCGGCCATATACAATTGAAAGCGAGGCAAAATATTCACTTTTGGAACTTGCGAAGAGAAATGAAAGCAATGACACAAAGTTAATCACAAATTAATACCAGTCTGCTCTGATGAATAATGTAAAATTTGTGATTGAACATGCCCTAATATTTTAAGCCACATTTAAAAAAAAAAAAAAATTGAGGCTAGAATGCATAAATAGTCCGGCACCGTCCCATTCAACATTTCACAAGTTATAAAATACATTCAGGGGACACGATCAAAATGTCTTCCGCGTGAAAATGGTCCATGAAGGATGAAGGAGCTGGTTATTTTCCTCCCCTGCACACATTCAGCAAAATAGGCCTGTTTTACTTCCCAAATATTTACCCCAAGACATCCCAAGAATCCTTTACCTGAAGCACGTCGAGGGGCGACCCGAATTCAATGCAGACACGTACAGCTTCTTCGCTGCCGCTATTGACAGCCGAGTGAAGTGCCGTGTTGTTTTCCTTATCCTTCTGTCGTAGCACGTAGTCCCTTGGGTACCCCGCCTCTTCAGCTACGTGAGATCAAAGTAAATAACCGGAGTTTAATTAAAATCCATCCAAGTCAGTCCGTTTTACTCTCATCTCAATGAACGAGATGGATTGGGTAGGAGTAAACAGCATTGTACCTACGTCAACTCATCGCTTTGTCTTCATCTATGGGACGTAATGAGTTGTCTTCTTGTTCCGAGTGGAACGCAGGACTTGCTTTGTTTCACGAACCAGAACCTTTGAATGTTGAACGCATTATATGTTTGCTATTTGACATTTATCTTCAAAGAGTTGCCTTATACGGCCAAAGAGAAGACCGATACTGATTTTCGCTGTGAATTCTCTCATATTTGTAGGGAGCATGGCCCCAGCCATGCTCCTTAAATGTAAACCATGTGGAAGGGTAATTGCCTAGAAACTTCCCAGGGAGTATTGCTGTGGTTTATAATCGTGTTGTGAGAGAAATTGTGGTATTTTCGTGACAGGCATGATTCATTATTGTATTGTACTGTAGTCTCTAGCGTGCGTACAAAGCCATCTACATCTATTTACTGTGACATTTTATTGTCCGGTACTACGTTAACTGCTTACTATTGTTCTGTTAAGGAATAAATTTAAGTTGAGAAGATCATAGTCGTCATAGATGTTTATCATACATGGTGATTGAATACTCGTCCGCTTAATAATTAGAAGACGTTCCTCCTTCCTTCCCCCTAATTGACGTGAGTATGGTCCACTATACATTAACAAACAGTGATACATTTATTTCAATTTATTTTCAAAGAATAAGATGTCCTGACACGATTAAACTGTTTTTAACATTTAAATACAATGGTTCCTTTAAAAACAAAAAGAGCTTTGTATGTTGCGCTTGTTTCACGCTCCAGTTAGACCGCCGAAGTTGGGTGCTGCACTTGGTCTGCTCAGCATACGTAGGCATACACACACAGTCGTGAATTTCTATACGCCCGAGGACAATGCTTTGTGTTTCTCTTTGTCCCTTTAACATAACACTCTCACATAAACTAAGTACATAACCGTACAATCGAGGACCATTTTCAACAAAAGACCCGACACTCGAGGACTGAAAGGATCTTTTGTTCTCCTTTGTGTGCCTGTCCTCTATCGTAAAGCCATACATGTACATACTAAAGTGGCGTTTGTGTATGGCGTAAATCGAGGACACACACGTGCAACATCATCGGTGAATCGAGAACAGGAACTAAACTGAGGACGACCTCGATTAGAAAACGAGTACAAAGCCAATGAGAGCTGTTGCGAAAAAGTTAGTACAAACAAAGGAAAAGGGAAGAACAAAATAAAATCCTTGATTGACACCATAAACAAACGTGCTGGTACATGGTACGCGTGTCAGTATGGCAATTGGTGCGCTTTGGGCAATTTGCGTTTGTTGATGGTACCATATACTAAAACCTTCACCACGCACTATTTTTTTTCCACTTTTTAATAATGAAACTAATATGTATTAGGTTTAATAACCAAATTCAGCTTGGTTTAGTTAGGGAAGAAGTGCAACATTACTCCCTCCGCTTCGTGTCGGGAGTTTTTCGAATATTTACATAAGGGATCGTTATTCGGTATATAAAAAAATAACAGTAGAAGGTATATTGTAATGAAGCTGACTTTCTCTTCATCAGCAATCGCGTGCGGGTCTTGTTTGTTTTTCTTCGAGCCCTGTCCATCTATCACTGACCCTGCATCATTAAACCATCCGATCGGCAGGTTTTGGCTAGAACTCGGTAAACACATTAATACCTTAATAACCTGCATTCGGTCATACGATTGTCTTTACCGAGACATCATCAAAGCGTTTTAACTACCCCGCGCCGCAGTTAAGGTATCATGCCGCATGGAACCCTGCAATAATTGCCTTTTTGCTCCGGACGATCGATCAACCTTCAGGCAAAAAGGCTTGAAGTGACGTCTGTGTTTTTTTCTGCGGAAATCCGTTCTGTAGAGACGTGAACCGATGGAAAGGGTGTAACTAATAAGTGACCTCTAGCATACTTTCAGAATGCATTTTATGGGCCAATAAAATTGATTATTTTCAAAGAAAAATTGCAAGGTACCCGTGTGTCTCATTGACTTTTATTTGCAGTAGGCCAAGTTTAAATAGTCTTCGGGTGGAATCATTGAGGCATGAGTTTCTAGCTGCATGAGCACAATGTTGTCAGAGTATTTTCCAGTGGTCAAAGAGACAGCTATCTCATGGACTACAAGATTGAGAACTCGCCGCTGAATTTAATAAAGGAGACTCAGGTGACAAGCCGGGGCACCTGCCTAGATATGACAACAGTATTCCGTAACAGGATGTATGCATATACATGTGATGTGTTCTGTGAAAATAGACAGAACTGAACAAAAAAAAATCAAATTTGAAGTTTTCTTCATATCTCAAATCTACTTATCTTAAGCTTTCTAATAATATCTAAAGTTTTTGAAATCGGATGTTCCTTACTCAAGGTACATAATTGTGAAGTTTGTTGGGAAAAAGTTCAAAATGAGAAATCATGCCTTATAGTTGGGGCTTTATTTCAGATACAAATTATACAGTCTTGATTTTAAAGTAACATTTTAGCAAGATGAAAGCCTGCCATTCCGTCGATAGCAAAATTGTATAGGGGCGACGCGCCTTTGTTGTCTTTTTGAGCAGCGACAAAGTAGGTATATTTTGTGGTTCGTTGTGCAACAAAATCGGAAAACTAGAGAAATCTTTGAAGCGACAAGCCTAAAAAAATCATCACAAATATATTTCATTGATGAAATTTCGATCTAAAAGCACAGCACAGCAGGATGTTCATGAGGTTATGAGGAATAAGAAATAACCAAAATGGCCAAAATTAAGTCCCGAGTCCAATTTTTGCCTGTTTCTAAATTTCAGGGTCTTCCCGGATATGTCTGGTTTGATAATTGACAGGACACGTCACATATAGTGGACTTTAACAAGTACAAATTGACATGAGGTGGGTATTGCCATGCACGGTACAATTAAGCAACCAAGGCGCTGGGAGGCCTTTTTGGCAATATCACAAATGTACTTGTCTCAGGAGAGTTCACTGGTGATGCCCAGTCCCAGTAGCCATATGTCAGTAACTTCCTGAAGAGCTGTAGAATCCGTTGACAAATCTGATTAATCTATCTTGACCTACACACAGACAGCAATTTAGTGCTAATTTGGTTGAAGGTGACAAGCCAGTTATTACCCCAGTTAGTAACGTTCATTAGATCTTGATTGAGAACGCGTTACTGGCTTGAGCACAAGATAAAGCAGACAAGGGACCAGAATATGCGGTATGCAATGTAGTTTCAACTGCATAGATGACTAATATCTTAGATGAGATGAGGTCAGACAGATAATTGATGTAGAGCAAGAAAAACTGCTGGACCCAGTACAAAACCTTTGAGGAACACTTGTTTTTATACTACGGACCAGTGGCGTAGCCACGGGGGGGGGGGGGGGGGGGGGGGGGGGGGGTGGGGGTGGCGACAGCCCCCATGAAACCTTGTCCCCCCCCCCCCCCACTGAGATTTTGAGTTTCTAAAAAAATTATCATTGATCTACATGACGCCCCCCATGAAATGTTCCAGCCCCCCCCCCCCCCCCCCCCCCCCCCCCCCCCCCCCCCCCCCCCCACTGAAAAATTACTGGCTACGCCACTGCTACGGACAGAATATGACATGACCCTCATGTAGTACAGAGATTTTACGTTCACCGAGGAAGTCCAAAATCAGATCAAGCAAGTGTTTGGAGATACCGCATGACTTTGAGTTTATGGATGAGCCTTCTGTGCCAGACCTTATCAAATGACTTCGAAATGCCAAGCGCAACAAGCATATAGCTTTACCACGACGATATAATGCTCTGTTCAAGCGCTCTGTGATCGAAGACTGAATGTCACCAGTAGAGTGCTCGATAGATAATCCAGGAGTTGCTGGCTGATCAGGCATTCGAAAATCTTGCTCATAATGGGAAAAAGGCTAACAGGACGATAGTTGGACTTAAATGATTTTTTCTCCAGAACCTTTGAACACAGGGACCAAAGAGGCCTACGGTTTAGAAAAAAATATAAGAAAGTTCTGGAGAACACATTTTTAAGAAGAGTGTAGGGATTCCAGCAGGTTCTGTAGCTTTGGAGGTGTCAAGAAGACGGATGACCTTAGCCGCCATGTTATAGGTCTGACAATAATCGTTGGTAGACTACTTTCAACACGAACACAATCAGACAGATCATGGGGTGGTCATTAAGTGTAGTTATAGCGGCAAAGCGTTCGGCGTAGAGTAAGCAACAAAGCATTCTTGTTACTTTTGTTGCTGACAGAACGAACTTTACTGTTACAATGAGCAACATGTTAGGTCATGAATCCCGCAAAATCCTTAACTGGCAATATGAGCGTCTAAAGCGATCTCACAACAATAGTGGAAAAATGCACTTTAAAAAGCAACATGTTTTTCAGTTGATTTATTAAAAGTGTAAGAGTTCGTTTGTTTCGTAAAATTTGCAGTTCTTCAAATTTCACTTTTGTGAAAGGACTTTGCCTGTATGTGACATGCTTGACGATGCATGCTTTTCTTCCTCCGGTTATGTTTCGGATGTCAATGATCAAATTCAGTTTGCTATGTTCTGCAGGCATGTATCGTGCCACAATATATCGGGTACGATGACAGGAATACATTTTGGAAATTCGAAATCATCAAAGATTATTCGCGTATTTTCTTTATGATCGTACTCTCTTAATATTTATGAATGAAAAAAAGACAAACTTATACCTCCGGTAAATTATCTATTCACTTACACACCAGTTTTCCTCGGTTGCTATGTGACAACATTCAGCACTCCAGACTCAAGAACCATTGAGTTTCAAGAACATGAGTCTGGGAGCTAGACGAGTCAACGTAAACAATTCCCGGGGTCCGTGCCCACCTATCGGTTATACAGACATCCAAATTTTGAAATCACCTATGTCTGGATTTCAGATTTGATTCGCGTTAATGGACAATGTT